ACTCACATACATCAAACAATTCAGAGTCGATTGATTCCAAAATTCCATCCGCCTGGAGCTTGGCTATGTGATTCTTGTTTATGTGGCCAAGACGACAATGCCATAGATATGGTTTTTTTTTTTTTAAGTCAGGCTTAAATCTTTTGGCATCACATGTATAGACAGATTTACTATTTGAGACATCATCATGTATAACAACTTCATGAATACAATTACGATGAATAGCATCAAAATAAAACAAGGTATTTTTATGAATTGAAAGCGAAACCTGATTGTCCCAAACGGGAAACTGAAATTATTCCAACAGAAATACTTGGAGCATAATGACAATTGTCCAATGTTAAAGTAAGACCACTTGGTAATTTCAGCTTATAGCTTACGATGGCTTCAACAGGAGCACGTGTTTTATTGCCAACGAACAAATCCAAGTCGTCTTGTTTCAGTTTCCTACTTTTTCTCATTCCTTGCACATTATTACAAATGTGAGTTCCACAACAAGTATCAAGTACCCAGGAATTTGATGAAAAACATGAAGTTATATCACATAGATACCTGATTTGCTGGACTCTCCAGCTTTGCCTTTCTTCAGTTCAACAAGGTAGGCGGGACAGTTCCTCATCCAGTGACCTCTCTTACCACAATGGTAACAGTCGGCATCCTTAGCAGGGTTTTCCTTTTCTTAGGTTGAGGCGCAACCTTTGGGCGGCAATTTTTCCTTTGCCCTTTCCCTCTTGGTTAGCATGTGGCTTCTTCTTGATGTGACCTTCCCTTATCATCAAAATTGTTGAAGTTTTGGTTGGAATGTTCCTCTCAGCAGTTTTGAGAATCAGATGCAACTCTGAGATAGACTTTTCCCATCCTTGCATATTATAATTCAAGATTAAAAGGTCATATGATTTAGGCAAAGAGTTGAGAATCAACATGATAGCCAAGTCTATGCCCATAGGAGATCCAAGCCTTTCCAGTTGATCAATGTGGCTCTTCATTTTCAAGACATGAGAGCTGACCAATTGACCTTCCTTCATTGTACATGCATGGAATGATTTGACAGTCTCAAAAAGTTCCTATTTGGCTTGATGTTAAAATATTTTCTTCAGCTCCTCAAGCATTTGATATGCTTCATGAGTTGTCCTTCTAGAGGTCATGAATCATACTTGCAAGCATAAGGCATTCTATGTCACTATGTTCTTCATACTTTTTAATCCAAGCATTATGAACGGCAGCAGTAGCAGTATCGAGAGGAGTTTCAGGTAAGGGAGCGTCAAGAACGTGTGATTTCTTTTCATGCTTGAGGACGATCCTAAAGTTACGATGCCAATCAAGAAAATTCACACCGTCCAGTTTCTCTTTCTCCAATAGAGAATGGAGTGAAATTGTTTAGGGTGTGGTTGACATCTACAAATAAAGTTCATCTATTTAGTATTTTTAATATTGATCCTTTAAAAATTAATTACCCTTATGTTTTAATTTTATAAAGGCTAAGATCCGCGTTAAAATTTGTAGTTATGCTATGTTGATCATGTACATAACAATAAGTTTAACCGGTAGGTAGCGGGTACCAATTGTATCTTAATACTATTCTTATATTTTTTAGGACTCTTGGACATCTAGTGTCCAATTGGCATGTTTAGTCTCATCTTGACCCCGATCTTAAGTCTTACCAGGGCGTCGGTTAAGTCGTCCAATTTAGGATTGTGACAATTTGGCTTAGGTATTACCATGACGCAAATTTATCACCTTGAGACTGTAATATGACTGGCTCTTAGCGCTATCTAAAAATTACACCAAGTATCCTAACTGGATAGAGTGACTTAAAATTTTAAAAGAGTATTATTTTACATAGTATTTTACAAATTTGTGTTACGAAAATTTGCATGCATCCAAAAGTTTGTGACACAGTTTGTTAAAACTAATTTTAACTTTATTTCCTTGGAAATAATGAGTTTTAGTTAAATTTTTATAAAAACTCAATCTTGTGTTTTATTTTAGTTTCCAAAAACTTTTGACATGTATATAATCAACAATTATATCAATGCATACAATCAACAGATATATGGCAATCAATAAAACACACACACACACACACACACAYATATATATATATATATATATGCATAGCCCCCAACTTAAATCGATTTTATGAGCCAACATAAATCGATGGTCAAACTAGGGACAGAAAACCTTTTTTCTTCAAGTTTGAGTTGGTCACCGTCTTTGATCTCCCCAAACCTTCAATCTCCGTCTTTGGTGATTTTACAATCAATTGAAAAATATAAAGATCCTATCTATATAATTACAATTTAAAAAAAAATACACTATTACAAAATCGAAGGCTAATCTAGAAATTTAAATTACAAATGGCACTAAAATTGCCAATAATTAAAATTACATATGGCACCAAATTGCCAATGAAATTAAATAAATAAAGCAACCACATACAACCATAGGTCAAAAGGGCTAAGACGGGTATGCATAAATAAACATATATAAAAAACGATTTATATCAACAATATAAACCAAAAAATGGTTTGATTCATGTCTAATCATGCATGATCATAGTCATGAAGAACAACATTAAAATGGAAGCCCTTTCATAAATATCAACAATATTTATGAAATTTTAAATATTTGATTATTTCAGTTTTGTTATAATCAAACAACTAAAATTAATCAGCCAAAAATTCAACTTGTGATCCATCTTCTCAAAAGTGCTCTGATACACTTGTTTGAAATCAAGGGAATGTTTAGAACTTTTTAAATAAACAACATAAAATAAACGCAACGAAAAAACAAAAAACTTTATGTAAAACGATTTTCAAAAGCCAAGATCCGATTGAGTAGAACAGATCAACCAAAAGATAAACTAAGAACGATAAGATCTGAATCTTACCTCTTAGATTTGGAAGAATCTGATGTAGAAACAAGCGTCCAATCAAAAACGCCTCTATTGATATACACACGAGCGATACCAATCGGATGCTAGTCCGTACTTCAATCAAAACAGAATTTCTCTTCTTTTCTTGACTGAAAATCGATCCAAGGAAGCATACGGGGAGGGGGCAGCATTTTCAATAAGAAGGGAGGAGGAGATTAGGTTAAACCCTAATCTTCAAAATCATATTTCTTTTATAACCGTTTTCGTGGGTTTCCTCCTCATACGGGACCTAAGTCTTTTCTTTTTAATTTAATCTAATTAAGGTAACTTGGCTCATTTAATATTATTTAAACTCTTTTAAATAATAAAACCCTTTAATTAATTAATCATATGGATAATTAATTTCCTCCACTTTTATTTCTTAGATATTATTTCGATTCACTTTTTCAAATAATTCTGAAATAAACTTTTACTCATTTTGATTGAATCATAATATATCACATATATATTATTTAATTGGTATCATTATTTCTCTTTGTATGTGACTCATAGGTTCATATGTAATCAGTAATATAGTTAACACCAAAAAGTCTTGTTCTTTGCACATAAATCCAACAGGTACTAGGGGTGTGCAGAAAATTAACCGATCCAATTGGAACCGACTGATCAACCGACCGACCGACCAATTTGATATCCAATTGTAATCCAATTTAGATCAGTTGGTTCTCGGATGGCAGTCTAGAACCGACCAAAACCGAATCAATAAAAGTACACAGTAGTAAATGTGTAAAAGTATCCAATTGATGGATATCCAATAAAAGTATCCAATTGATGGAATTGAACCGATCAAATCATCCATTGGATTGGATTGGATCGGTTATCCAATGTTAATCGGATTGGATCGGTTTGGTTCCCATCACATCTAATGAATGTCAACCGATCAACAGGCCTAATCCAAAAGCACACAAGTAAATGTGGATCCAAATTGATGCACAAAATAATTAGCAAACACAAAATAATTACAAAAAAGTACTTTTTCCATCAAAAGCAATGTACCAATCACATTGTAACTCCCAATTCATTTTTCTCTTCTTTTTCCTTTCTTCCCTTGATGTTACCAAAAATATTAAAAGAGAAGCAAATGTATTCAATCTTACAAATTATAATACCACATAAAAATATTTCAATACGTTTAGCATGATGGAGTAGTAACACGGACACTCCTCCCTCCTTAAATCTCCTCGATATAGGAGAAATATCGTGTAGAAGGGAAGTTAAGGTGAGGAGCGTAAGAAAAGATCTGAACCCTTGATCACTGTTAATCTCATGACCATCCATGAATTGCGCTTTAGAAGGGAATTATTCAGGTGCATTGAGAGTGTTGATCTAAGGGTGAAGATCTCTTTTTACGCTTCTCACAATAACTTCTCATCTCACCGGCACCCCTCCCTGGATGGATATATGACAAGATAAAAAATGGTTTGAAGATGTATGTATATATGTTTGTATACACGTACATACATATAGGTGTATATATATATGCAAACATATATTTACACATACGTTATAGGCATGTTCAAATAAGAAGGCTAAATAATGTATGAAAATATGAAGAAAATGTTGAAAGAAAGTTCATATGTCACTTGTTGAAAAACCTATTCCTATGTGTATACCTGACGAGGTTATTCATATAGGTTCACATGCATCTTCAAATGGATTTTTTCGATGATTCATATACTTTATCTTAACCTTCCCCTTTTACCTTCTCAAGATATTTGAACCTCCCACATACGTTGTATATGCATAAACATTAACGTGCTAATCTCTCGGCCCTCCAATTTAACGTTCGTGGATCCTGTAAGAAAGGCATCAACAATGGGGAAGGTAGCCACATAACGTTTTTCAAATGCAATCAAACAATCAACTCCGATGGAGAGCTCAAACCAATAAAACCAGTGGTCAACGGTTCGAGTCCAATAAAGGATTGTTCGACTGTTAACTTCAAGGCCCATAGGTAAACAGAAGCTGATTCGGAAACCCACAGTTATCCTAAAAAAATACAGTCAACAATCAATAGCATAATGGTTTTAGTTACATTGATCCCACCCCATCCACGCCAATTTCAAGTTCAAAAGATCCATAAATTTGACATCCAAAAATTCACAAATGAGACCATGATCTTGATCAAAGATCCATGATGATGTTGAAGCTATATACATATTGCAACAAAATCATATCAAGATTGCAACTTTCACATATAATTAGCAATTGGAACAAGAAAAGGATATGATTTAGATGTATATAAACTTAACAAGAACCCGTTAACGAAAGAATTTTAAGTTTCAAGACTAGTAAATAACGTTAGCTAGCGATTTTTGCCAAAAACAAATCAATTCTTGTTGCCGACTATTCGTTCTTCCAAGCATACAGTGTGAAACAAAAACCAGGACAATGCAAGCTCTGCGAACAAGGCCACGGAACCGTAGACGGATCTGCCAATTCGTAACAAGTCTGAAACATGAAAACAGCACTTGCAGCTGTTGATCCAAACAACCAATTATGAACATCCCAGTAAACTTCCACAGGGAGGCCATCAATGGAAATGGTGCAATTCCCTCTAAATTTCCATAGCAGATGCTTGACTTGCATCACTATCTTCGAATCCAAACGAAGCACGAGTCTGGGATTGTTGGACCCAACCGTATCGCACTCGATTCTAAGGTCATGGATCACACCATTATCTTTGAATTGGGCTTTAGTAGCATACACTTTGTTCCCAAAAATGTGTTCTCTTTTCAAAACCAAGGAATTAGAGAAAGATTGGGAGGCAATGGGAATGGAACCAGTTTTCTTCAAGATTTGTTTTGTGAGATCCCCAATTAACAAAACAATCTGTCCCTTAAAAGCAAGACCCAGATAGAAACCCTGAATGGGTTCAGGGGTGGAACCAAATTTGGCATTTGTGAGGTCCCAGTAGACATCAATGGTGAGGAAATCCACTTGAAGATGCTTGGAACCTTTGGTTTTGGAGAAAAGAGAAGGTTTAACATCAAGTCTAGAGAGAGATTTATGTGAAAGATCCTCAATTTCCACACTGAAACAATGACCCACGAGATTCTTGCTCCAAGTGATGATTATTAAACGAGATTTGGCAAGAAATTTAGATTGGTAAACACACGTGACCAAGTTTTGAGAGGCTTTGCTTTTACTTACAGTGCTGCTGGTGCATGATGCATCTGCAATGGCGACTCCGTTTTCAGCAAAACAAGAAGGGAAATCCTTCATTTTTGTGTTCTTTATGGAAACCCACAAACAAGCATTGATTCAAGATGAAAGAAACAGGTGTGATGTGTTATAAGAAGCCATTTTAAGTAATTGTGTCATAAAGATGAAAAGAATTCCCAATTCCAGTTGAGATTTGGGGGAAGGGAATTAGAAACAGGAATAGGAATAGGAATAGAATAAAACAAAGGAAATAGGAAATAGGAAATAGGAAATGGGAGGGAGGTGGGTTTTCGTGTATGTCACGTCCTCCTCTAATCTTTTCAAACCTGTTCGTGACAACCCACGACATCGCTGGCCGGCCCCAACTACTTTTTTAGGGAATAACTCCATCTCTCAACCTGTTTACATGTTTCTTTTCTTTTTCATATATATATATATATATATATATATATATATATATATATATACACATATTTGGGATCACGTGAGACCAATGAAAACACTTGTTTACACTTGAAAGCAAAAAGAAGCCGAACCTTCACAGTAAAAATACACTGTGAAGTTTCAAGTGTAAAAAAGTGGTCTTACAAAAACAGACTGGTAAATTATAATCATTTACAATTTTTAATTTATGAAATCTTTAACTTTTGAAAAGAATGGGTTATTGGATACATCAAAACTTTCTTTCGTATACATTTTACAAAGTTTTACCGATGATTATGAGACGGTCTATAATTTACAAAAATTAAGAATGTGTGAATCTGGGTGATGATGGAATCGATCCGGTTTTTTATTTCTTATTTCATAATAATATAAACCGGGGTTTTTTTTTTCAAATTGATATGTCAATTTACCGGTTTAGGAGCCACACATTGGAGATGCCCAAGTGTATACGGCAAATTAACAAAGGGAAGTTTGAGTTTGTACTTTGTAATTTGTATGGTGAGGAAGGCCTTTTATTTCATAAATATGCTCGAAATTGAAATCATTTAAAAAAAATAGGTTTATCTATTAAAATACCCATCTCATTTACTTTTTCAGAAATCTCTTTATTTTCATTATTATTCTTTTCACTACTCTCTCTAACTTGTCTCGAGTTGCATCTTCTCTATGACATATATATATATATAGAGAGAGAGAGAGATATTCTCCGACATCTCAACCCTTCAGTGAGTTGCAACGAGTTCCATGATAATTTGATGGAGCTCGATACGAACTCGAATAACTTTGGCTTTTTGTTTTTCATGACGTTATATTGTTCCTTACGATGGTGTTTGGTAAGTGGTTGGTGATTATTGGATTTTCAAGGATGCTTAGAGGACGTTTGGTTCGTAGAATGGAATTTGATGGAATTGGAATTTACCAAATGAATTTGACTTTGAAGGAACGGAATGAATTTGATGAAATTTGACCATGCCTTGTGATTGCGTTTGGTTGCATGGAATTTGAATGAAATTCTTAAAGAATTGGATTTTTTTGTTCGGTTCACGGAATTCAACTTTGGAATCGGAATTAAATATCAACAAATGACCTTTTATGATTTTTGAATAACGGAATTGGACTAGTGATATCGATAGCTAGTTATCTTGAATCGATTCCTTGATTATATATGTTGTCTATCGATCTCGTATAAATGGAGAAATTACGAGAGAGAGAGAGATCGTACCAGATGGAGATCGAACCAGAGATCAATTAGATGAGATGGTAGACGCAACGTTGAATGGATTTGGATTAGGGAAGAAATTTGTCGGAAAGGAATTGAAATCCGAGGGTATTGCTGTGGAATGTAAAATCAGTGAGTGAAAGAATTTATTGAAATTAAAATAATTCCATCAGTTTTATTCCATGAACCAAACATTGTACTTGGAATTTAGTCAAAGGATTTGGCCATTCCAATTTCTTTCAATTCCATCCAAATCCATGAACCAAACAGCCCCTTAGAGTTTGCCGATCCTGGTAGATAAAAATGTTACTTTCTTGCAAAAGGATTGTCAGATTTAAGTATTTATGGTTGAATCATTGGAAAATGATCATTTTACGTACAAGGATTGTGGTTAAAAAGAAACACCAGAGTAGAAGACCAACAGAGGCGCAACTATTAATCATCTTTTATGTTTTATGATGATCGATTGTTCTTTAAGGAAACCTGAAGCTTTGACAATCAAATAAGAGATCTCAAAAATGTTGATTACTCATCAACCATGTTACTTATTGTTGGATATTCAGCTCTCTCATCTAGTGTCAACTTGATATACTTCTCATCTGCATGTGTCTTAATGCTCCATCATCGTTTTTGCTATATATTTGATTTGAAGTCGACTGCTCTTGCTTAAAATCTAATCCTCTCTTGTAGACCTCGTACCTTTCAATGTCGTTGAACATCCATCAAATACATTACATATTCAATTGAGGTCATCCTCTCTCCTTCCCCTCTCACTACGTCGTCCAACATGTAATGAACTGTAGCAATACATGATATTCAATTGAGATCATGGATCCTCTCTCCTTCCCATGCATCTTACTACGTCATCCAGGGCGTTGTGAGAACCCTTCCCATGTGTCAACTGCGCCCCCACAACGCACCAAAATGGGTCCCCAAAGACGATTAAGTATATATGTTGGATATGAATCCCTAACAATAATCCGCTATTTAGAACCCTTGACGGGTGATCTATTTACCGGAACATTTACGGATTGTCACTTTGATGTGACAGACTTCCCATCGTTAAGGGGGAGATAGGAAAAAGGATTTTCCATGGGAACGACAAGAATTGCCACAGAATGTTCCCACTCTATCTCATTTTGATCCCTACACTTCACAATGTGAAGTGAAACGAATACTAAATCTTCAAAGTGTAGCAGACTCGATACCTGATGCATTCACTGATATTGCAAAAGTGACAAGATCACATATACCAGCTGCAAATGTACCCGCAAGGTTAGAAGTCCCCAAACAGGGGCACAACACTGTCGAAAAGAGTGTTGCAACTACACATAGTGGAAGTGTGGTTGAGGCCATGGCTCCCAAAAGGAAAAGGGGGAGGCCACTTGGTTCTATAGATACTCATCCAAGAAAGAAAAAGAAGAGTAAGGCACAATCTGATCCACTTATCATCAATATTGAAAACCTTTCTCATGAGATTGTCTCTGATTATAGTTATGTCCATGAATCATTACTGGAGGATGCTCCAAAGTCAATATTGAATCTAGAGAACAAAGAAATCTCAATCAATTTTGAGAATTCTCATGAGTTGACGGAAATATCATCCATACTCATTGATGATATATTTGCATATATTGTTGCTCATGAGATTATAGAGCACGATGACATCGAACCACGCTCAATTGAAGAGTGTCGACAAAGAGCAGACTAGCCTAAATGGAAAGAAGCAATCTAAGCATAACTAGATTCTTTGGCAAATAGACGGGTATTTGGTTCGGTAGTGCTAACCCCACCAAGTGTAAAGCCTGTAGGACATAAATGGATCTTTGTCAGAAAGCGTAATGAGAATAATGAAGTCATAAGATATAAAGCTCGCCTTGTGGTGCAAGGGTTCTCACAACGCCCTGGAATTGACTATGAGGAAACATACTCCCCAGTAATGGACGTAATAATGTTTCGCTATCTAATTAGCCTAGTAGTTTCCGAATGATCGAAAATGCAACTTATGGATGTGGTTACTGCATTATCTCTATGGGGATCTTGATTCAGAGATATACATGAAAGTGCCTACCGGCCTTCCACTACCCAATTCAAGTAACTCTAAACCATGGACTGTGTTTTCAATTAAACTTAGACGCTCACTCTATGAATTAAAACAATCCGGGCGGATGTGGTATACCCGTCTGAGTGAATACTTAATTGGGAAGGGATATAAGAACGACGAATTGTGCCCTTGCGTTTTTATAAAGAAGACAAGTTCAGGATTTTCAATCATTGCTGTATATGTTTATGATATAAACATAATAGGTACTCTTGATGAAATAGAGATACTGCAAGTCATTTAAAATCTGAATTTGAGATGAAAGATCTTGGAAAAACTCGGTTTTGTCTAGGTATAGAACTAGAACATCGAGCTTGCGGAATCCTTATCCACCAGTCCGCTTATATCCAGAAAATGTTCAGGCGATTTAATATGGATAAAGCGCATCTGGCTAGCACTCCCATGATCGGTCGAAGCTTGGATAGAAGGAAAGATATTCGTTCAAAGGATGATGACGAAGAGGTGTTGGGAGCCGAAATTCTCTATTTGAGTGCAATAGGCGCATTATTGTACTTAGCACAATGTACTCGACCATATATTGCATTCTTAGTGAATTTGTTAGCTAGATTTAACCCGGCGCCAATGCAACGTTATTGGAATGGTATCAAGAATATATTTTGATATCTGAAAGGAACCATCGACATGGGATTATTCTTTTCCTACAAATAGAAAAATGGTTACAATACCAGTTAAAGATATTAACAAAGAAAGCGTTATCCCCTATAATAAAACCCCGAATGATATATTAGTAGGTTTTGCTGACGCTGGGTATCTCTCTGGCACACATAAAGGTCGTTCCCAAACAGAATTTGTTTTTACAATTGGGAACACGACGATTTCTTGGAAATCTACCAAGCAAACCCTTGTAGCTACCTCCTCTAACCATTCAGAGATTATTGCTCTACATGAGGCGGTTCGAGAGTGTATATGACTAAGGTCTGTCATTGCACATATAAAAAGAGCTAGTGGTTTAAGTTCAACCACTCAAAATTTCACATGCATATATGAAGATAATGCAACTTGTATTGAACAAATGAAAGTGGGGTATATCAAGGGAGATAATACAAAGCATATTTCACCGAAGTTTTTCTATAATTAGCAACAACAGGCTCTCCTTAAGATTCAAGTGAATCAAGTAAGATCATAGGAGAATGTGGCTGATTTGTTTACCAAATCACTACCTAAGGCCAGATTTGAGAAACATGTGGAAAGCATTGGAATGCGGAGGCTTTCTAAACTCCCATAATTAACGTACGTATTAGGGGGAGTAGTAGACGAAAAGGGGGATCTACTTATGATATTAGTATGTTGTGCTCTTTCATTCACACACGGTTTTATTTTTCTCAATGAGTTTTGTTCCTTGGTGTAAGGTTTTAGTGAGGCAACCGTTTAAATACCATCTTATTTTCTTTACTCATATTATTGATGTACCAATACGAGGGAATACTAG